ATTGCAACAAGATCGAGCCAGTTTTTAAAGAAGATGAGCAAAACAACATTTTAGCCAGAATAACAGAAGAGTGAGATAGAAAACCAAATAGTTGAAAAAGAAAGCATCATAAGAAACCAGTGAGGTGATCTCTTCTTGCTGTGGTGTCCTTCTAAATCTCTTTGAAATATTATTCGTGTTAACTGTGTTGTCTGATACAAGAATGATTATACCAGCTCATTTTTTCCTTTCCATTAGCCTGGAATATCCATCCTTTTACTTTGTTTCCTCATATCTGTTGGTGAGAGGTGTCTCCTGTAGGCAACAGTTAGTTAGATGTGCTCATCTGTGGTATTTGATGAGTTTAAGCCATTTACATTCAGGGTTTATATGGAGAGGTAATAATTTGGTCCTTTGAGTTTTAGCAATGGATTCCTCATTGTTTGATTTAGTCTTCTGTTCTTTTACTGCATGTTTGGTTTTGCTAGGTGCTATTCCTTCTCTATGTCAAGGGAACATCCTTAAGAATCATTTGTAGCTCCGTTCTGGAACAGGCGAATTCTTTACGCTTTTCTTTCGTGTGGAAGTATTTTTCATTTTCAATGACAAAGGAAAGCTTTGTTGCATGAAGTTATTCTGGGTGACAATTTTTTCTGTTTAGAATCTGGAAGATGTCACTCCATTCTCTTCTGGCCTGTAGCGTTTCCTCTGATAGGTCAGCAGTGAGTTAGACTGCCATTCCTGTATATGTTACTAGATTTTTTTTTTAAGGCCGTGTTTAAGGATCTTTTCCCTGTGTTCAGCTCAAGAGAGCTTAATTATCTTGTGTTTTTTTAAAGATCACATTTAATCAACCGTATTGAGAGATCTGTTCTCCTCCTGTATTTTGTTTCCCAATTGTTTCTCCAAATTTGGGAAGTTTTCTTTAAGAAAAAATGATTACATGTTTAAACCTGGCTTCTCATTGTTTTTAAGAATTTAAAATTTTTATTTGTATTGGAAAGTCAGATATACAGAGAGGAAGATCTTCCATCTGGGCGCATGCAAGGCAAAGATTTTGACCACAAGGCTACTACGCCAGAACCCCACAACTTCTCTTCCTATACCTTCTGGAACTCTCATAACACTTATATTCGGCCTTTTAATAGTGTCCCTTAATACTTGAATACTTTTCTTAGCTTGCTTCAGCTTCACTTTAAGCTTTTTGTTTCCCCATTGTGACAAGCAATAGCTTCCAATTCTACGATTCTTCTGTTTCACTCATTCTATTGTTGAGGTTTTCCACTGAATTTTTATTTACTCCATTGTGGTCTTAATTTCTAATATATTGGCTTTCATTTGATTCAAACATATTCTTTAAATTGTTTCAACTTCTGTATGTGTTTCTTGATGTTGTTAAGAAGCATTATAAGAAGTTTTTAAAAATTTTTATCCCCCATTTCCTTGATGTCTTCCTCAGTTAACTGACATTGGTAAAGGCTTTTGCTCCTTTTCGGGGGAAACATCCTTAGTATTTTTCGTGTCTCTGTCTCTTGTTTTGTTCTTGGTCATTGCGCTTTTTTGTTGTTGTTGTTAGCTCATTCTCTTCTTGGTGCTGGTTTCTAGGCTCCTTCCCATTGGCTTACCGGCCAGTTTTACTGATTGTGTTTGTTACCTGGGTCTTTGTTTTCAGTGACTTGTGCCATTCTTTGCAGTTTCAGTCCCGGGCTCTTGTGTTTGGTTTCACCATGGTCTCTATAGCCTCAGCCCCCGGCTCCCCCCTCTCCACTCCCTGGGATCCTGTGCTATGGTCGCACCATTGCCTGCAGTTTTCTTCCCACTCCCAGTTGAAGCAGTTCCCAGAATTAGGTAGACATCAACTGTCCTAAATCACAAGGTTGTCAGCGGTGCTGCTCTTGCTGGAATCTGCTGGGTGTTAGCTCTGAAGATGCCAAGTTGGTACTGTTTTCCCTGTGAGACCAATGCAATGAAGTGAATTTTGTCCTGGATCAGCACCTGCGCAGCTCACAGTTGTTTCTTGGGCTGGGGGCCAGCAGGACCGATCATGGGCTGAATCTGTAGGATGCCAAGTTGATACTGTTTTCCCTGTGGGACCAGTACAATGTGTTGAGCTGGAAATGAGGTCACCCCCAAGCAGGTGCAGGGTCCCACTGCTTTCCCAGGCCAAAAGCAGGAACTTGAATCAGAAGTGGAGCAGCCGAGACAGGAAGTAACTATGGGATGCTGGCACATTTTTGACCAGAATCTTTAAAATGAGTCTTATGAATTCTGTGTCCCCATAAATTGTTCCATAAATTATTTTTGCCTGTTCTTATTTTAGTAATCCACACAAGACCTTGAGTTTGAAATTTAAGTTAATGAAAAATTTTCTTGTGTCCTGTCTTACTAGTATGAATTATACTTATGATTGCTTGTTTGGTAATTTAGAATTGTGAAAAATAAATTTCTGTGATTAAGCTTTGTCAGAATAGGTGGTATCTTTGAATATAATTTTCAGTTGTCTTAAAATGCTACCTGTTAGTTCACTTTTTTTTTTTTTTTTTTTAAGTTTTCAAAGCCTTCCAGAGTGACAGGAAGGGACTCCAAGGGAGGCAAGACGCCAGGAAATCTAACAGAGAAATCTCCTGCCGTGGTGGCCGGAGGGAACTCCAAGGAAGGAAAAGATCCTTAGACAACCTTCATCTTAGCTGTTTTTATTTTAAATACGTTATGCAGATACTGGTAACACCAGACATAATTTATACAAGACTTTTTACACAAAGAACATAAACTTGCCTGGAGACTTGAAGAGGTCTTGATGATCTTGAATATTAGACTCTTACCAGGCATCTGACGTGGGCAGTTATGGTCTTTGAATGGTGGTTGTGTAGCGGGAAAACATAGAACTAGAAGTTGAGAAATTGAGTGGTTCTTCCAGTTTGGTAAAAGGTAAACTGCTTGTTGAACCAGTTGGGAAATTATATTATATAACTTAGTTTCCGTTTCCACCCCTGTAAACATTGGCATAGTTGAATGATGGCTAAACCTGTGCTCCAAGCAATCTCTATCATAGTTGCACAAAAGTTGGCTTGGGTTCCCTCAACAATGACTTTCAACCTTGGTTTCCATATAGATCATTTTTGGAGATCTCTGAGTAATAACATTTTTAGGTAGATTTTTTTTTTTTAATTGGAAAGTCAGATATACAGAGAGCAGGAGAGACAGATTTTCCATCCACAGATTCACTCCCTAAGTAGCTGCAATGGCTGGAGCTGAGCCGATCCAAATCCAGAAGCCAGGAGCTTTCTCTGGGTCTCCCATGGGGGTGCAGGGTCCCAAGGCTATGGGCTGTCCTCAACTGCTTTCGCAGGCCACAAGCAGGGAGCTGGATGGGAAGTGGGGCCGTTGAGATACGAACATGTGGACATGCAAGGCAAGGACTTTAGCCACTAGGCTACCGTGCCAGGAACCTTGCTAACAAAATTTAGCACCACTGTTTTTGAGACTCAGAAGCTTCAGTAAGGGCAACCTTGAAGAGGACTAATATTTTCATATTCTCACTTTTAAAGTGATGAATTAGAATGAGAGTTACAGAAAGAAGAGCAAGAATGGGGGCCTAGCGGCATGGCCTAGGGGCTAAAGTCCTCGCCTTGAATGCGCCCGGATCCCATATGGGCGCCAGTTCTAATCCCAGCAGCTCCACTTCCCATCCAGCTCCCTGCTTGTGGCCTGGAAAAGCAGTCGAGGATGACCCAAAACTTTGGGACCCTGCACCAGTGTGGGAGACCCAGAAGAGGTTCCAGGTTCCCGGCTTCGGATTGGCGCAGCACCAGCCGTTGCTCTCACTTGGGGAGTGACTCATGGGACGAAAGATCTTCCTCTCTGTCTCTCCTCTCTGTATTGTATATCTGACTTTGTAATTTAAAAAAAAAAAAGCAAGAATGATAAGATACTATTTTAAATACCCTCCATTGTGATTTTTCTTTTTTTTTCTTTCTTTCTGCTCGTTTACTCTTTTTAATTGTATAAGTTTTATTTCTGATAATTTTTACATATTTGATTAGGGTGCAAAGGGTCAAGGGCTAGGGGAGACTGGGTGAGACCATTGCTTTTGTTTCAAATGGGCAGTCATCTTGCAAAAATATGTGGATGTTAATAATGCAGAATTTCCAGCTATGTTTATCTAAGTTTAAATATGTGTATCTAGCCAGCAAATGTGATAGAAGACAGATTGACAGCCTCACTATTGAACTACTTGGAAACTCATGTAATAATTGCTCAGATTGCCAAAGAGCGAGTGCTCATTTGATTTGTACTCTTTGAAGACAGTTGTTGCAGAGGCACTCAGAGGTCCATTCAGCGACTTTCTCCTCTTGGGTTCACGGTGATGGATTTAACTGTACTATGAATTCCAGCTCTTCCCAGTTTTTTAAGAATCAGGTTGGAAGGAAAAACTCCTGCTGTGCTGCACATGGTAACTTCAAAAAGTTCCTGGAAGATGGAATTAAAAGCTGAGTTTATTTTGGTTTTTAAAAAAAAAATCCGCACATTACTTTTCCATAATGTACGTTTTCCGAGAACTTTTAGAAGGGCCGCTCGTGTTGTGCTGTGCGTTTGTTTCTGTGGTTGGAACAGCTCGTTCTCTGCAGCAATCACTTTGGATGCTGTTGGTTTCTGTGGCTGTGGTTCCTGTTAGTCCTTTCTGTTGGTGCTTTTGCATGCCTTAGTACTTCTGGTAACTAGCAAGTTAATCATCAATGAGATGGGCTTTGGAAGTGGTGCTTTGTGGTTGAGTGACTATGGAGGCCTAATTCTTTCTTTCCTCTTTAAGAATCTCAGAGATGTGGCTGAAGCCTTGCACTTAACTCTGTGTTAGCCTCACTGCTTCTCTTGGCTTTTTGCGGAACTATGAGACATGTCAGGAAAGGTAGCTCTGAAAAGCAAGATCGTCTTGAGAAAATCTGTTTCCTTAAGTAACTGATGTTTTAGTAATTTTCATCATTGTCTGTGCCTGTTGGTTCACTGTGTTTCTCTCCCTCTAGCCCCCCAGGTTCGCCTAATAGTCTTGGCTACTTCCCTACAGCTGCTAATCTTAGCAGTGTCCCTCCACAGCCTGGCACGGTGGTCAGAATGCAGGGCCTGGCCTACAATACTGGAGTTAAGGAAATTCTTAACTTCTTCCAAGGTTACCAGGTCAGTAGCTTGAAGAAGAAACATCCTTAGAGTCCTTATTACATAAGTTGATATGCATGAAGATAGTCAGGGAAGACACAGTTTCTCTGAAACTCAAAATGAGTGTACATGTGCTAATGGATTTGCTTATGGAAGTAGTTCGGTCCAGAGTTAGCATAAGGGGGACTAGCTCATGCCCTTGACAGCATTGGGACTTCTCCACAAGATCTTTATTTGTTTTATAATGTATTCATTTAATGTGTGCTAATGAACACATTAATTAATGTATTAATCCATTACATGACGCCATCCTCCTTTGTGTATTAGTTCTTTGTAAACTTTTGGTACATTTTGGAAACCTGTCCTACTTTTTGGATTGCTCTTTTGGACATTTTGTGTAGCACAGAGTTGGCTAAGAAGGTGTTTTGCTTCAAATCTGACTTAAGAGAACTCAAGCACTGATTTTGAAGTTGAGGTCTCTGACAAATCGATAGAAGGGGTGCACAGGAACCCCAACTCAGGATTGCCAGGCCAGCCCACCATATGAAGCCCACAAAATCACGTGACCTACCTCTACCAAGGCAACCACGGGTGTGAGTTGAAATTCAGTAAATCTATAGCAGGGTAATTTTTAACTTGATGCTTGTGTAAGCTCAGGAGTGATGCTATAAATATACAAATGGTTTTAGGCTGAAAACAGGTTTGCTACCTCTGGAATACAAACAGGCTTGCTCAGGAGAAGGTGACACCCTAAGATGACCTGCAGAGTATTTGCTGAGCTATTGATGAAATTATCTGTTAGTTCCAATGCTGGTCTTTCCAGTTTTTTCTGCTGTCTTCGTCAGTCATCTGCTTTTGGGCTTAAGCTAAAGGAGGCATGTTTCAGTGTGAGTCTTCCTCTGGTGAGCAAAATCTCTTTGCCCTTTCATCCTGTTTATTAAAGTAATAGAGAAGACTGTCCATTTTCATTCTTAAGCTAAATTTTTCTCGACTCATCAGAATGGAGAGACCTTTGGGGACACGATAGGCAGATCCTCAAATTAGCCCTTGAGATTTGGCAGTGCCACTTGCCACAGGTGTGTTGGCAAAACCTGTTTCTTGGTGGGAGTGCATTTACAGGTAATGTCCATGAGCTGTGGAGGAGTGTGATGCCCCCGATGCTCAGGGCTGCTGGCTGCCCACGTCTACGGAGGACTTAAGGCCTTTTATCCTGCTAAGGATATTTTGTAATAAATCAAAATCTATGGCTCATAGTGAAAAGCCAAATGAGAATAGACAAAAGTTTTGGCTTATTACTTTGTTGTTTAGCACATTCTTATCAGAACTAAGCATTTTTGTTTTTGTAGAGTACATTATTCTTCCCTAAACAAGTATACTGCTTTTGGCAAACCTTAAAATGTATTTTTTAAAAATCCCTTTCCTAATACCATGTCTGATCAATTATATTATGAAGGAATGGAGTGTTTTCCTGAAAGCTTAATGAAAAGATTGTGTATTTATGGATAACTTATTGTGATTTTTATATTATGTTTTCCCTTGTTGTGTAACTGTGGAACATTCAAGGAAAGTCCCAAGCTTTAGCCTTCAGCTGGATTAATTCCTTTTCAGCTTGTTTTCCTTGATTCAATTCATATCTGTAGACGTAAACACTCTCACCACTTAAATTAATAGATAAGCAAAATTGTTCTTGGAGTCATTCAGCTTTGGAGTAGAACCACCTTGTATCATTTGATTTCCAGAGTGCTTAAAATGCATGAATTGGCTAAATAAATTAGGATCTGTAAGAACCTCAGTGATAATTGCCATGTATCAAATGATACTAGTCTTCCTTCAGTGGCAGTGACAGTGCTTGAATTCCAAATCTTGATACCTGGGACAGGCATTTGGCTGGGTGATTAAGGCACCACCGCCCCAGTCAGAGTGTCTGGGTTGAAGTCCCAGAGCTGCTTCTGCTTCCGGTTTCCTGCTGTATGCCTCCTGGAAGGCAGTGTTAATGGCTCCTAGAACTTGGGTCCCTGGCATCAGGTGGGAGATGTGAATTCAGTTCCGGGCTGCTTGACACAGCTCAGTGGCAGCTGTGGCAGGCATTTGGGGAGTGATCTAGCAGATGGGAGCACTCCCTCTCCCCTATAAAATGTTCAAACCTAAACCAGGTTCATCTACATAACAAAAAAGTTGAAATACTGTCATCTGGAGTCCAAGGCTGCTGCTTTGTTGGTTCTTGTTCTCTGTTAAGCAGATGACAGATTCCTGTTCACTTAAGTGTTTACATGTAGAATATTTATCCACACTGCTGATTTGGTGGGAAGCTTTACCTGTGGTTAATACTAAATAGTTATAGAGTAACACTTGTATTTTTATAATTAAGCAAGTACCTGTGCAGTAATTTTTTGAGTAAATTAAACTATTGATGGTCTCTGGTTACCATAAGAAATATGTATCTTGACATATGATGGCATGTCAATTTTTACATACAATACTTACATATATTTTCCTTCACCATTAGCAATATTCCCTCCATAAAACTACTCCCTTGTGTTGCCCATATTTCATTTGCAATGGCTTGTAAATTCAAAGAGAGCGAATATTTCAAAAAAAGGAATTCTGATGGCAAAAGCAGGATGCAGGGCTTGGATTTTGCTACCAAATTTGCACTTCTATAAAGTTAACATACTTGAGTTAGGTCTGTTTTGATTGATTAAAATAGAGTGGAAACATAATTTATGAAGAAATTTGGTAATGAAGACATTCTTCTGGTTGATAGATTATAAATGTATGTATTTCAGCTGATGGACTGCTTCTGAGATGGACTTGTGGGTAGCCTTGAACAATTCCTTTTAACTTTTTCAGATGCTCTTTTACTGTCAGCAGCTTTCCATTTTTACTAACCTGGGTAGTTTTCCTGCTCTTCAGAATACTGACCTTGGTCTTTGTCCTTGAAACTCTCACCTCTAAGATTTTTCACTTGCTTGCTCTACTGAGTGATTTCCAACACACTTAGAATTCACTGGGTGATTTGAAGGTTTTGGATATTGGGCTTCTTGTATAATGCCTTGGAAATTGATGCTCAAATCTAACTGATGAGATCTAGTCATACCATGGTGTACTGGAAACTTTACTCTTAGCAAGATGTTACTGGTCTCCTGAGTTATTGTGGTGTGTAGACTTTTAATCTACATGTTCAGACTAGCATCCCTTGTAGAAGAGATTTTGTGTTTATCCAGTAAAAAAGATGAATTGGCATTAGCATTTAAATACGTTTGCATCAGTGTTTGCTTGTCTCTTAAGAGTTTAAATGTTCTTTTGTTGGTACATCTGTTTACTTAAGGTGCTAACCATCCGTGGTGACAGTTTGTCTATCTTTTGATCCTGTTTGTTTTAACTTGCATTGTAGTATGCAACCGAGGATGGACTTGTACACACAAATGACCAGGCCAGAACTCTACCCAAAGAATGGGTTTGTATTTAAGGGCCCCAGCAGTTAGACCATCCTCAGAAAAGAAGGTAAGGCTCTATGAGATATAAGTTAAATTAGAAAGGGGCCAACATACAGAAATCATGCATTTTAAGATATGTTGGGAGTCAGGTGGAGAAGTTTCCTCTTTCTTTAGTGTAATGTTAAAAGTTTCAAAAATCCTGGAATGATGAGAGTGAGTAGCGTGGTAAAGCAAGATAAGCCTCTACTATGGATACTCACATCATATGTGAGAATGCCTGGAGCCCAGTCTCACCTGCTTCTGATCCAGCCTCATGCTGCTGTGCTGTGAGGCAGTGAAGTATGGCCCAAGTGCTTGAGTTCCTGCCACCCATGTGAGTGACCAGGGTAGAATTCCAGGCTCTTGCTTTGGCCTGCCTGGCCCAAGTGTTGCTGGCATTTGGCAAGTAAACCAATGGGTAGAGAACCTCTGTTCTTCCCTGTCCCTTCTCTCTCCATCACTCTGCTTTTCAGATAACTAAACTAAACTATGCGAAATCCTGGAAGGCATGAAAACTGGAGTTAACTTTGTTGTCTACATAGATAGCATCCAACCAGCTATTGTGGATAGCTATTGTATGTTACTTTGGAATAAGGGAAAGCTTTTCAATTTGGAAATTCTTTAACTGTATCATAAACAATAGATTGAGCTTGCTTTTCTCAGAATTTAGGTAAAATCTACGATGTAAAATTAGCAATTTTAAAAGTATGTAACTCAAAAATTTTTTAAATTCACAACATTCTACACCTATTATCTCTGCATAGTTTTGTTTTTTATTTATTTGTTTGGGTTTTTTTGTTTTGTTTTGTTTTGTATTCTGCTTTTTCTCTCCATTGGACTTGGAAACTATTCTTTCTCTATGTAGATTGCCTGTTCTGGATATTTGATGTGAATGGAATTTTGCCATCTGACCTTTTTGGGTTTGGCTTCTTCTGTTTCATATGTTTGGGATTTTTTGTTTGTTTTTGAGAGGCAAAGAAAGAGGGGCTTTCCATTTGCAGGTTCATTACCCAGAAGCCCCTAACTGGGGCTTACAAGAGCCAGGGGCCAGGAACACAATCTGTCTCCCAGTTACTCGAGTCATCAGTGCTGCTTCTGCAGGTCCATGTTAACAGGAACCTAGAGCAAGGAATCAGAGCTGGGTATCAAGCCCAGATACTCCAATGTGGAGTGCTGGCGCAGTAACCAGAGTATAACTATTAGGCTAAATATATGTACCCAGTCCCTGTGTTTTGAAGGTCATATATGTATCAGCATTTATCAATACTTCATTCCTTTTTATGACTGAATAATATTCAGTTGTACTAAGAGGGAGAGACATATCTTCCATCCGCTGGTTCACTTCCCAAATAGGCACAGTGGTTGAAGTCAGGAGCATCTTCCAGATCTCTCATGTAGAAGCAGAACCAAGCACTTGGTCCAAGCCCTGTTGCTTTCTTAGGTACATTAGCAGAGAGCTGTATTGAAAGTGGAGCAGCTGGGACATGAACCAGCATCCATATGGGATGCTGGCTCTACAGGAGCCTTTACCTGCTATGCTAGGATGCTGGCCCTCACATCCAATTGTTCCAATACTCTGCATTTTCAGTTCTCTTAGATGTGTATAAGTGGAGCTGCTGGATCATATGTAATTCTCTTAGGTTTGAGATACTATCTCTCTGGTTTCCTTTTTGAAATTAGTACAATAAATGATATAGAATCATAGTCTAACAACTTTTTTTTTTTTAAAGATTTATTTTTATTATTTTTTCATTGGAAAGGCGGATATACAGAGAGGAGAGACAGAGAGGAAGATCTTCCGTCCGATGATTCACTCCCCAAGTGAGCACAACGGCCGATACTATGCCGATTCAAAGCCAGGAGCCTCTTCTGGGTCTCCCACGCGGGTGCAGGGTCCCATAGCTTTGGGTCGTCCTCGACTGCTTTCCCAGGCCACAGGCAGGGAGCTGGAAGGGAAGCGGGGCTGCCGGGATTAGAACCGGCGCCCATATGGGATCCCGGGCGTGCAAGGCGAGGACCTTTAACCACTTGCGCCACCGCGCCGGGCCCCCTAACAACTTTTTTTAAAGATTTAGCTTTTTATTGGAAAGTCATATACAAAGAGGAGGAGACAGAGAAGATCTTCCGTCCAATGATTCACTCCCCAAGCGGCCACAATGGCCAGAGCTGAGCCGATTCGAAGCCAGGAGCCAGGAACCTCTTCCAGCTCTCCCACGTGGGTACAGGGTCTTTGGGCTGTCTTTGACTGCTTTCCCAGGCCACAACCAGGAGCTAGATGGGAATCTGATTCCCCAGGATTTGAACCACTGCCTATGTGGGATCCTGGTGCATGCAAGGGAAGGACTTCAGCTGCTAGGCTACCATGCCAGGCCCAAAAGTCTAACAATTTTTAAGTGTTTGCTTCTGGCCCTCTAAAAGCAATAATCCAGCCAGTTTTCTTAATCTCCTTCCCTAAGTCTGCCTTCTTACTGTTGTTCAGCTGTCATTACGTCCAACTCCAGAATGTTTTCATCTTCTCAAACTGAAACTCTGTCCATGTTGAACAGTAACTCTCCACTCCCTCTGCCGCCAGCCCTGGTAGCTGGTAGTCCTCTTTGTGCATTTGAGTTTTCTAAGTTGTACCTCAAAATTGGATCTGCCTTTTGTGACTAATTTATTTCATTTAGCGCAGTATTTTTTTATTTTATTTTCACTCTAGGTCGATAATTGGTAGTCTTGCATAGATATCAGACCAAATTCTCTTTTGCAGTATGCGTTATTCCCACGTGATGGCATGGTTTTTCCTTACATGCCCTTTTTTCCCCCAGGACTAAATCCAGAGGCAAAGAACCCTGAGGTTTTGTTTGTTTACTTGCTTGTTTGTTATAGTTTCCTCGCCCCCTTTCTCTGCCTACAAATGTCTACAGATGATTTTATTATTTTATGATACTGTTTGATTGACTCTGGGATTTCCCTCTTCTCCCTCCCCCACTGACTTCCCCTGTATTACTACGATAGTCTAGTCCTCTGTGCTGTAGGTTCCCCCAGAGCTGGAGTTGCAGGGACGTGTTGGAACTGGGGTGGCTGATTCCTTCCCAATGGTTGGATTTGCTGACACTGGCTTACTGGTAGTGAGGCCTCATATGTCTTGATCCTGTGCGGTAGCACCCCAAACAGCAAGTGGAGGAAATTGGGATTTCCTAGGTGAGTCCCTGTGCTGAGAGCACGCAGGTGTGACCTGCAGATGCCCTTCTTTTGATCCATATTTGATCTTGGAAAGAGTTCACTACTCAACACTTTAAGCCCGTCTATGAATATATCTATATCTATCTATCTATTTATCTATCTTTATATATATATATATATATATATAATCAGTATTTTCAAATGAATAAGAAATGGTCAGAAGTCAGATTTTTGACATGCTGGAACTGTCCTAAATGGATTATTACCATTGCACAGTACCTCTAATTCTACCCTATATTTATATACTTTGATTCATTATGGAATAATCAGGTGCCATATTTAAATCAAATTGTATTTTTGTATTCTAATATAGTTAGTCTTTGGCAAATGTAAAGGTTCCTGAGCAGAAGAGTTTATCATGAGTTAATTTGGGTTTACTCTGGCTGCGATTACATGTCACTGTAAGAAGGCAAAGGAGAACCACACACATGCGACTTGGGGCTGAGCTGCAGTGATGATGACAGCCACCAAGGCTGGGTGGGAGTGGAATCTGCAGGGTGCACCCTCTGCGGACACTGTGAAGTCTGACTCCTGGAGCCCATGTTTGTGAGAGCATAAATTTCTTTCAGGCCACCAGATTTAGAGTATCTTAATATGGCCACGACTGGGAATGAATATGTTCTCCTGAAAACTAGCTTTAAAAGAAGAGAAATCACTGCTGTCCACAGGTCAGGGTCAAGGTAGCTGACACCCTGGATGAAGGTCTGGGAGAACCTTCATCTTCTCTTACCCTTGTCCTGTGAAGCAGTCAGCATGGTTTTCTTTGACTCACTGTTAAGTCCTGAGTCTCAGGTGCTACAAGTCAATGTGTCAGTGTTGTTTGGCTGTGGATATACTGTGACACTCGTGCTTGGCTATAGTGTATGACAGTACTTGAAAAGGTGACTTTGCCCAAATCTGTAATGGTGGCATAAAATCTTTTTGACATGTGATACTTCCTTTTGTATGAGAACCAGTAGAAAAAAATATACAGAAGCCTGTTTGTGACATTCTGTGTTATGCACATTCTATTTTATGGAATCTCTTCCTGTGTTCGCAACAGCCAGGGGGCAAAAGTTACAGATATTATTTGTGTTTGCCTGTTTTCTTATTAACTTTTATTTTGACCAAGATTGAAACCCAAGGTTCTCCATTGCATTCAGTCTGTAATCTTAGTGCCCTTTGGTTTGAGTTTGTCTTGTCACAACTCGCTCTGTTTGAGGTATACTGCTTTGGGATTTGTGGGCTGCCCTTCAGTTTTGGTTGGCTTTTCTCCGGTGAAAGTGTTTTCCTTCTGCTGTGGTCTCTAAGGAAGTGGGATACTGTGTTGGCTGCTGGTGATGTCTGCCTCGGTGCCTGCGCTAACATTGTGCTTCAGAGTTGCACTTCCGGCCTACATTTTAAAGAAGAGGGTACCATGAATATTGTTTAGGAGGTTTCCTGTATCATTTGCCTCTTCTGCACCACTGTTTCCGTATTTATTCGTTGTCTGTTTTAATATGAACTCACATTTATTTGATGCTTTGGGTTATGCTCTAATGCTTACTGCTGAAATCATTCCAGCTTTGGCCATTGGGAGCTCATTGGAGTTGGTCCCTTCATGCCTCCCTCTTCGCTGTCTCATCAATGGACTTGGTGCACGGAGCGAGAATCACACACATGGACCATACTGACCGATGGTCAATAGCCCACATTGATTAGTGGCACCAGTCTTTTAAAGACTGAGGGTTACACAGGATAAGGGAAGAGTCCTTGAGTAGTTTACATGTAGATTATGGAAGTTCCCATAAGCCTATCTGGATTCCATCAGTTGTTCCCACACCC